ATTAACTTCCCAAAGGAGATGTTTATATTTTCATAAAAAAATCCGACTCGCTAATTTTATGTTTTCTCGACGTTTCAAGCCATTCTGATCGAATGAGATCAACAATTGGAAAAAGTACGTGTGTGTATGTGTGTGAACAGATTTTTTACCGTAAATCGACGTTTTCTCAAAAACGGCTGGACGAATTTCAAAAATTTAAAAACCATTCGATGCATCTCGACGAGGAGTATTGTTTGCCAGTTTTCTCCGACGATCGGATAATCCGTTTCTTTATAAATCGCAGAAAAGTGAAAAAAATTTTGTCCGCGTTTTAGCCCGCAATTCTGAATCGATTTTGAAAATTAACAACCGTTCGAAAGATATTGGTTGGGAATCGACCTGGTTAGTTTTTGGTAGAGATCGGCTGGGTCGTTTTCTTGTAATAAAGTGTTAAAAAATTGTTTTTGTCGATTTTTATTATTATTATTTAACGGCAAATACCATAGTTTTCTAGATCATACTAAAATATTACGGCCCTACGACAACTCGTTTAGATGTAAAAATTCGTCAAAGTTGCAAAAATTAGTATCGTTTTTTTTGGCATTTGTCAAAATTAGACCTTTGATCGACGTTTTCTCAAAAACGACTGACCTGATTTCAGAAATTTAAAAGCGATTTGATGTATCTCAATGAGGACTATCGTTTGTCAGTTTTGTGAGACGATCTGCCGAGCCGTTTCTTTGTAATTTGAAAAAAGTATTAAACTTTTCGTCTACATTTAAGCTCAAACTACCACCAACCGATATAAAAATTCAAAAACTGTTCGAAAGTATTACGGTCTTACGACAGCAGTAGTTTAATTTTAAAAATTCATCAAAGTTTGAGAAAATGAGTAGTTTTTTTTTGCGTTTATTTACATTAAAATTAGACGATTTACTTGATATAACAATAGAGTACTAGATCTTGATGAACATACCAAACTATTAAAATCCTACGAAACTGTTTCAATTATAAAATTATTAATTTGTGAAAATTTGCTTTTAGACGAAGAAAATAGTTAACGAGTTAACGTGTTCGTTCGTGTAATTAATTGTTATTATGTGTAATAAATCCACTCGGAATACTTTTAATGACTCATAAATTAATTTGTTTATTATTGATTAAGTCGATTATTTACACATATCGGGAAGTTTATGTAACTTGCCTCAAGACAAAATACCAATACCAACTAGTCTTATATACCCATCTGTCTTATCAATCTATTTCCACCCGCATCTTGTCCATCTTTGTAATTAGCTTCATCGTCAATCGTATATGTGTATAATAATAATACCTACATATTCGTACATTTAGAAATCCATGTCCATAGACCATAAATCGCCTTGGCCTAATAGTAAAAGACAACAATGGTGGAAACCAAGACAAGAATAGTAGTTCAGTTAGTTGGCTAAATATAATAAACGCATTAATATGTTTATTCACTTAATATACTCGATAATATTTGTTTAAAACATTTAACGCGCCTCTGTTTATAAATTCAGGGAACGACTGATCTGATCTTAAAATTCAGTATCAATAAACAACTAGTGGTGCATGATGCCTTAAGGCAAATTGCTGGAACTTCCCGTACCAAAAGCAAAATTTAAAAAAACTAGTAGGGTGCATGGCGTCGCGCCTCAAGGCAAATTGCTGGAACTTCCCATACCGTTAAATTAAATATTCGAGAAATAATCAATAGTTATTTTGAATAATTTCAAATTGATTATTAACTTCCCATAGGGTAAGTTATTGTAATGGGCCGAAAATCGGAATTGAAAATTACATTTCTCGAAGTTTTGAAGGTTTCTGAACGTTTTGGCATACCTCAGAAAAAATGGATGTGTGTGTGTGTGTATGTATGGATACAAATTTCCAGTCACGATTTAGGGTGCACGGATCAACCGATTTGAATGGTTCAAAAAACATTCGATTCCTATTGATAGGGAAAATACCTGATTAGTTTTTGGCAAAGGCAGGTCCAGCCGTTTCGGAGATACGGAGCAAAGAGTGCAGAAAATAGAAATCGAATTTTTGAGAGAACGGAGAATCCGAATTGAATGATCTAAAAAACATTCGATTAGTAATGATTGGGAGAAGTGTTTATTAGTTTTTGGCAAAAGCAGGCCCAGCCATTTCGAAGATACGGAGCTAAATATGTAAAAAATGGCAGTTTTTGAGGGAAACAAGGGTCCGATTTAAATGATTCAAAAAACTTTCTGCTTGTCTTAACAAAATAATTGATTTTGAAAAAAAAATTTTGTCCATTTTTTTTTTTTTATTTTTTTAGTTTTTTGTATATCGAAAATATTTCATATTTTATTTTTAATTCTGACTATAGTTCTAATATACTTTCCAAATAATTTCAACTCTGCAATTCAGTTTATATAATTCTTATAAATAATAGACAATGTTACAATATTTATAATAATCTATTTGAAAACATTCAGTATTCCTCGAACATTTCGTTACGGTACGGGAAGTTCCAGCAATTTGCCTTAAGGCACGATGCCATAATTGCCTCAAGACAGAATTCCACTTACAGCTAGTTATTTATTATAAATACATACATAATATATATACAATACAATTTTCAATCGATGTCTTGTAAACAAAAGGTACAAGCATAAAAAATGTTCACAACCAAAAATTTAGGTAACAAGTAAAGTTAGAAATTTTTAACGACAATATTTGAAAGTAGAGTGAAAAAGATGTATAACCACCCATCATGATGATTTTTACGACATTTAAATCGAGAGCAAAACAGCAATTTTTGAAAATCCATAACAAAAGCATTTTCTTTCGTATTTAGTTTTTTAGTTGTGAGCACTGTTGTTTAGTTTACAAGATCTTAATATAAATTAATGGCTGGGGTAAAAAGGACCACTGAACCTTTACCCTTGTAAAGGTATAAACAATACAAAATAGTAAATAAAAAAAACTGAGTAAATTTAGATCGATTATTAAATAAATAGTTATTCCAACTCCTTTGTAAACTTTTCTGACCAAGGTTATATACAGTGTTATTTCTGTGAAAAATGCAGGCATAAAATTTATATTTTGCATCGGTTAAATAATGTAGCTATTTTTTTATAAAAAAAACCTTTAAAGTTAAAAATAAATTTTTTCTGCCTTTGGGGTAAAAAGGACCAAGAAACTAATTTTTGAAAGACAGCAAAAAAACATTTCTACAATGATGATATAGCTGATGGGAGTATTACTGAACATAGTCATATGTTAGATTGATATATATTATTTGTTTTGATTTAATTGGTTTGATTATTACAATCTAATTGCTCTAAGTCAAATTGGGCCTTTGTGTCCCGCTCTACCCTCATTATTATTCCAAATTTTAATTAATTTGAATAATTCAAGCACTTTTTGTAGATCTTTAGATTAGAACTAAATTTAACTTTAAATGTTAGTGCATATATCTAAAATGTTATAGATTGATTTTAATCGATATTATAAAACATATATAAAATGTAAAATTGTCATTGAAATTCTAGATATAAGTTGTTCTTAAAAACTTATGCTCTTCTTAGAAAGTTCTATATGGTTTTTAAAAGTATTGCTTCTTTGAAGGCCGAAGATTTTTAATTGTTTTATTATACTCGTTAGATTATCGCTGCAATTTTTACGACATTAATATAAGTTCTACCATTTAAAAAAAAAAAGTATTCTTTTGTATACATATTAGGAAATAGCATAGAATAATAGAATAATATTTATCTAATTTTAAGAATCATGGATATTTTTAATTCGATATCAAGTTGGTTAAGTAGGATTTCTAAATTTTTAAAATTGATTCAGTATTGAAAACCTTGTTCTAATTTTGGTCTCATATGTTTCAGAATGACTTAATTTTTTTTTTAATATCAAGCAAGTTGTTAGAAATGTTGATACGGCCATTTATTCCAAGTTTATGTGATTATTTATGATTAAACCACTTTTTGTAGGCCTATAAGATTTTAGGATGAACCAAGAATTCTATCTGCATACAAAGTTTCATCAAAATCTTCAAAGAAATTAAACAATTAATGACCAAAAACTTTTATCAAAAAACAAATCTTAAGAACTATTTTCAAAAATTATATTCAGATTTGTAAAACTTGGTCAAAACCTTGTGCATTGATAATTATAAAAAAGAGCTTGACCCATTGTCTCACAAAACTAATTACAATAGTAATAATTAACTTTTCTCCTCATGGAATTGCATCGATTGAATTTGTAAAATTTTGATGAAACGGCGACTTAAGGCCAAACCGCCTCACACCCATACTATCTCCAAATTTGGTGTCAAACGATTCAGAACGACTTGAAACATCAAAAAAATATAAAATCAGGAAAACGGATTTTCTAGAAAACAAACTTCTTTTCTGGAGAAATACAACAAATTACAAAATACAAGAATTAAATTCATAAACTTTGAACAAAAACCACAATGTCAGTCTTCATCTTCATCTTTCAGGAAACGCATTTTGATATCACAATAAAATAATACATTTTTTTATTTAACCACGAGCCGACCTTTTACAATCTCGAGTAGGTAGTTAAGATTATATTTATTATCCGTTTTTTATGATTTATCCCAATTTTAAATAAATATCAATGTCGAAATTGACAGATATGTCAAGACGTTGCCCTCGCCATCAAGTGTTGTTCACCTTGTTTCAGATAAACTGGATGATTCAAGATTTCTTTTAATAAAAAACTGGATTTGTGAATTAATTTAATTCATATAATGCATAAAAATGAAACAAACTTGATTGTTTAAATAATGCATTGTAATTGTAATGAACGATATGAATAATTAATTGGGAAAGTCATCAGCATTTAAATTTGGATTTAAAATATTTAATCTAAAAATGATAAAACTTTGTTGCAGATATGATGGTCAAAATGAACTTTTTAGGAGAACTTAGAATAAATATAAATTATATGTACGTTGTTTGTTTGTCATTTAATTTTGTTCGTTTTTTTAGACAAGAGAAAACTTTGGACAGCTGAAGATCATTTAAATCTTTTGCTAAGTCCTGATGCTTTGGCACCAAGTGACACCACTTCTCCTGATGAACAAAATATCGATTTACCAACATGGTTCGACGAAGAAAAATTTGCCAGGTAAATAATTTATTAAAACTAGCTGGTTTTGGTGTTTTGCCTTGAGGCAAGTTACATGAACCTCCCGATACGTGTAAATAATCGACTTAATCAATAAAAAATAAATTAATTTATGAGTTATTAAAAGTATTCCGAGTGGATTTATTACACATGATTGAAAACGAACAAACACGTTAACTCGGAATATTTTCCAAAAGCCAATTTTCAAAAATCAACAATTTTCATAATTGAACCAGTTTCTGTTGGACTTTAATGGTTTAGTATGTTAAGACAAACTATGACTATAATATTTTTTCAAACTTTGACGAATTTTTATAGCTAAACGAGTTGTCGTAGTGTCGTAATATTTTAGTATGATCTACAAGACCATGGTATCTTTCGTCAAAAAAAGTTTCATAAAAATCAGCAAAAAAATCAGAATTGCAAGCTGAAACGTGGACGAAAAATTTCTCACTTTTTTGCGATTCAAAAGAAAACGTCTTGACCGATCGTCGCGCAAAACTGACAAACAATAGTCCTCATCGAGATACATCGAATGGCTTTCAAATTTCTAAAATCGAGCCATTTTCGTGAAAACGTCGATTTAAGGTAATAAAGCTGTTCACACACACACACACATACTTTTTCCAAATTTGGTCTCATTCGATTCAGAATGGCTTGAAACGTCGAGAAAACATAAAATTAGCGAATCGGATTTTTTGATGAAACCATAAACTTCTCCTTCGGGAAGTAAATAAAAAACCATAATTCGTTTTCTTTTCTATCAATTAAAAATGGTCATTTGTTATTCCTGTCATTCGTCGTCATTTATAAATAAATCAAATGTAAAAGACGGATTTAACATTTTAGATGATTTGCGGAACAATCTGCAATTTAGTTTTATTTCGATCACGTACTCGAGATAATTGAACGACAACATTGAAATTTCGAAACGTGATGAGAATTTATAAATGATAAAACAATGTATGTATATATACTAGGTGACCCTTTGGCCATAAAAAATATTTCTGGTATAACATGTTTAGTGCGAAAATACCTAATTGATTGCAAAAGTGGTGCATAAGTGAAAGGAACAGCTAACAAAAAATATATGAATAGTTTACCCACTGCAAAGCACGCCACATATAAATGTCCCTTAATAGTCTTAGCAAGTGCCAACCTAATCTGAAATTGATTCTATTTAATTTAAATTGGCACATTTGATGTTTCAAGATTTTGCAGTGTTATTACCGCGATTTGCATTAATTCATTAATTTTTGAATTAGGAATCAAAATCCGATAATTCATTTTTAAATTATATTGTTATGTGGCATATCGAGCGAATTGACTGAGATTGACAAAAATTGAGAGAGAGGAAAACTTTATAGCTTTGCCATACATTTCTATTGTACCTAATATTCCTTATCAAAAACCGTTGTATCTTCAGATTTTAATATTCAATCTCTCTATTTTTCACAAAAATTGCTCTTTATGCAAATCATTTATGAACTGTGTACTGTTTGTGCGCATCGGGAAATATTTGTACTAATGGGAAAATTGGAGGCGCAAACAGCCTTTGATGAATATGTTTTTTTTTAAGTAAAATTTATACTTTATTATAAGGTCAGGAAATATGAATTAAAATTCAGTAAAAAACACTCACTGACTGAAAGCGTGGTGAAAAATTATTCGATTACTAAAATGACTATTATGAAATAGAGATTTGTGGAAGGAAGGTGAAAATTTAGAGTTGTATGCTTTTTTCAAATCCGCATTATGAAAATTAAAATTGAACGAAAATTGATTCCACATTTTAAAATAAATTAGGGGTTTTTTTAAGTGAAAAGAAAAAATTGTATCAAACAATTTATTGCGATCAAACATATAACTTTATAAAGGCTTTAATCTTGTTTTTGGTGCGAATTAATTATTTGAAGTTAATTTTTTTCGTGACTCTTATAAATACTATGCATTTCCCAAGTTCGATAATACTAAAGAAACAAATCTTGGTCGCTCACAGAAAGCTTCAATTATGCCCACATTTACAAAATCATGTATAATTGGTGTAAATATAAATTTAGACGTGTAAATCAGATGGGAAACATGTTTTTTATTTGTAATAAACCATTCTCGCATGAATTTTCCAAATTTTCTATAAATCTGAACAAAATATTGTCCAGTCCATATAAAAACAAGATTTGATTATTGCGCCACCATTATTTTTCAATTTCAAATTATAGAAAATTAAGATAAAAGAAATTGGTCTCAAAATTTAGAAAAAATGTCAGGGGTGGACAACCTTAAAAATAATAAAATAAAAAAAAATAACTCAAAATTAGAAATAATTAGGGTGGGGATAACCCTTAATAAAATACATTGTACTTCAAAGGGAGATTAAAGCTTTTTTCTTCAAGTTCAAAATTTTGAACTAAAATTATGTCAAAAATATTTAATGACTAAACGCAGTATGAAAATTGATTGAATTACTAAAATTGCTATAAAATTAGGGGTTGGTAATGAAAATGTGAAAATCTAGAGTTATGTGTATTTTTAACGCCGCACTATGAAACAGTAAAAACCAAAATATTCGTCCTAACCCTTACGTATAAAAGAAGATAGTTTCCGATTAAAAAAATATCTCGACGCTTCAAGTCATTCTGAATCGTTTGAGACCAAATTGAGAAAAGTAGGGTAGTGTTGTGCTTAAAGGTTTGTGGGTAAAAATGTCAACCACTATTATCGCGAAAACAAATTTGGCGACTTTTTACAGCTATACTATTTTACAGTGGAGGGCAAATGATGTGTAATCAGCAATCGTCTTAACGGTCACATTGTTCATTATTATTCCGATTCCGATTCCCAGACATACTGAGTACGAATATAAAATTTCGTAAAAATTGGAGTACGGGAACGTACATTGTGTGAAAGAATTTTTATATATATACTAGATGACCCGACAGACGTTGTCCTGTGCCCACGTCTACAATTCAAAAGTTCCAAATTTTTTAATATCCTTATACTTTTTAATATCCTATTTATGCCATGCTTTTGTGATTCATTTATTATGGTCTTGGCATAAGCAGTATAAAAAAATTAGAAAAAAATAATATAGTGTCTGCGGTAAAAGAACAATATCACACTTGATTTTACCACACAACATAATTGCTTCACTAATTTAGTCTGAAATTTCATTAAATTCGTACGATAAATTAGTAGCTTTTTGGCAATAATTTCTAAAGTACATAATAATAATTTAATAAACGTTATTGTTTAAGTTCAAATCTTTGGTGAATTAATTTGTAAAATCTAGTTCATACGAGCACTCTTCAATCCAAGATCAACTTGCTAAATATTCCATATCCAATGCCGTAATGCCAAACAAATGACAATTTTTGACACATGAAACAATATTCTGAAACATTTTTTTAATAAGAAGAAATATTTTGTTGTATTGTTAAATAATTTACTAAAGTATACCAAAATGCAACATGCATAAGTTTAAAAAAATAATGTAAATGCAATTTTGGACTTGCTGCGTTATTTATTAAAGTGAATTAAATAATTTCATCTGCCAAACATATAATGTTGACTGTATCTAATATTATTTTAATTTCTGGCACTACTCAGCTGCTTTTCGGCAATAATAATGTACACATTGCATTTTTTTTGTATATTATATTGTAATATTATCTAGGCTCATAATTTCAGCTAAATTTAAATTTCAAGTAAATTGACTTTTCTAGCACAGTTGACAGTTCAAATGTTCGCAATGTCATACAATGATAAATGGTTTTTTGAAATTTTGCCATTTATTTCTACAATATTACTATAGTTTTATGGTTCATTAAACCTTAAAAATTTCCTTTGACAAACTCTAGAAAGATTTATCAAAATCCGAATAACCGTTTAGGAGAAGTATCAAATCATACAACCCTACAGAAGAATTTTATATATAAGATAAAGCCATTATTAGTTTATTATTATTCACCATCAATTTCACTAATTCCATTATCTTTTATCCAGGGGTCAGAAATATTATTACAAAAATTCGTACGGCATGTTCGTGGGAAAGCTATGCGGCCTGATAGCAGTGCTGGCCGTGCCGACGATTCTGAGGATCCTCATGTTCACTCAGAGGTCGTCGGTACCGTTTACCGCCTACAAGAGGTACATCGCAACATTACTTCATACCACTTTGTGGTACGATATTAAATTGACGAAGGATTCGAGGTAAGTGAGATAAATGAATACTGGAACTAGTTTTAAGTGGCATAGTGTCTTAAGGCAAATTGCTGGAGATTCCCGTACCGTAACGAAATGTTCGAGGAATGAAAATAATCAATGATTGTTTTGAATAATTTCAAATAGATTATTATAAATTTATAAGTGCTTTATAAATTGGACGACAAGCGTATTCTACAAACAACTTATGTGTATGTTTACAAGAAATTTATTTATTTTTTAACTTCCCGCAGGATAAGTTATTGTAATGGGCCGAAAATCGGAATTGAAATTTTTTACATTTCTCGACGTTTTGAAGGTTTCTGAACGTTTTGGCATACCTCAGAAAAAATGGATGTGTGTGGGTGTGTGTGTATGTATGTATGGATACAATTTTTCGTCCACGTTTTCGGGCGCACGAATCAACCGATTTGATTGGTTCAAAAAACATTCGATTCCTATTGATAAGGAGAGGTGATTAGTTTTTGGCAAAGGCAGGTCCAGCGGTTTCAGAGATACAGAGCTAAATGTGCAAAAAATGGCAGTTTTTGAGAGAACTAAGAGTCCGATTTAGATGATTCAAATAACTTTCTGCTTGTTTTATCAAAATAAGTGATTTTGGAAAACAAAAATTTATTTCAAAGTTTTTTTTTTTTTTAATTTTTGTATATCGAAAATAATTCAGATTTTATTTTTAATTCTGACTAAAGTTCTAATATACTTTAAACAAATAATTTCAACTTAGCAATTCAGTTTATATAATTCTTTTAAATATTAAACTATGTTACTGTAATCATTAATAATAATCTATTTGAAAGCATTTAATATTCCTCGAACATTTTGTTACGGTACGGGAAGTTCCAGCAATTTGCCTTAAGGCACGATGCCACCCACCCCACTAGTTTTTAATTTATGTCTTTTGATAATTTTTAAATTTTGTCAAAATGTTGATGATATTTAAAAGTTTGAGAATTTCTGGAATTTTTGGAAAAAATCGATGTTTTTTAAGTTTTTTGAGATATTAGAATTTTTTTAAAAAAAATAATTTTTTTTCAAAATTTCGAAATATTTTCAATTTTTGTAAAAAATCGTTTTTTGTAATCCTTAAATTTTTTGAGAATTTGGAACTTTTTGAAAATTTTTTTTTTCAAATTTTCGATATATTTTCAATTTTTGTAAGAAATCGATTTTTTTAAAAAACCTAAAAAATGTTTGTGAATTTGGAATTTTTTGAGAATTCATTTTATTCTCAATTTTTGTAAGAAATCATTTTTTTTTTAATCTTGAAATTTTTTGGGAATTTGGAATTTTTTGAAAATATTTCATTATTTTCAAAAAGTTGAAATATTCTCAATTTTTGTAAAAAATCGATTTTTTGACTTTTTTGATAATATTATTTTAAAGTGGAGAGCAAATGGTTTGTAACCAGCAATCGTCTCAACTGCCACATTGTCAATTATTTAAAGAAAGTAATATTATTTCTTAAGTAAAGTATATTGTGAGTTTTGTTGGTTTTTGAGCACTGTTGTTTAGGTAAGACACAAATAATAAATAATATTAAAATGACTACCAAACATTATTTGTTTTTATGAACTTCTCTGTGAATTTTTATATTCAATTTTAATATATTTATTATTTTACAATTTTCTTTACAATTTCACATTTTTATATTTAATATCAATACACTTATATTTGATATTTGAACTAGTGGTTTATGGCATCGTGCCTTTAGGTAAATTTCTAGAACTTCCCGTACCGTTCATACACAAAATAATCAATAATAAATTAAAAAGGATAAAATTAGTAATAAATCTTTAACCTATCTTAAATTATTAACGTGAAAAATTTATGTACTGAAATAAAAACGTAATATTTGGATTTCAAATATTATTCATATTTACAAATTTTTAATGTATTTTTTCTGTCAAAAGAGAACATATACAACTTAAAAATAAAATAAATATATATTACATGTATATTAGGTTAGTCCTTAATATGGACATTTTCAAATTTCTTTGCACCCAAGGGCTCAAATGCTTCCAAATTAATGAAAAAAAATCACCCAAAAATTTTAGCTCTTAATATTAACATTTAGATAGTCCGCAATTCAATTAAAAGTTTCGTCAGTAAGTAAATTCTTGCGCCATCTGTGATAGCATTTGTAAACTCAAATATGATACTTAAAAATATTTATAAAACACTTAACCTCTAATTAAATCCATGTGGTCTGTTTAGCGAAATATTTATTCATCGTGGCATCAAAATTAATTTTGCAGCAAAATATTTATTTAATTGGTGATGTAGACACTCAAATTATCAGTAATGAATTGATATCAAAATTACAAGTTTGCTATCACAGATGGCGCAAGAATTTACTTAATGTTACATGTTAAAAAAATATACAAAACTTTTATTTGAATTGCGGACTAACTAAATGTTAATATTAAGAGCTAAAACTTTTGGACAATTTTTGTATATTTATTTGGAAGCATTTGAGCCCTTGGAAGCAAAGAAATTCAAAAAATGTCCATATTAAGGACCACCCTAATGATTCCTATGCAATTTGAAACTTACGGGAAGTTAAAATAAATTTATTAAATACATAATTATTATTTCCAGATCCTGGAAATCGCTTATACAAGTGCGCAAACGCCACTTCCAGGCTGGACAATCAGCCTGTGCCAAAGGTTTAGGGTCTGTGACCCAAAAGGACTTGGCATTGACCCAATTCGGTTTTATGGGCTTTATTTTGATAAGACCAAAATTTCTGGGCATACAATGTGACGACAAAAAAGACCGAGAGGCTTTTGTACACGTTTGGAGATGCGTTGGGTATATGATGGGGCTGGAAGACAGGTAAAAAAATTAAACCACAAATAAATTTTTGTTATTAATTTTGAATTTATTTTTAGGTTTAATATTTGTCGCGACTCTTTAGAAGAAACTGAAGACTTATGTGAAGTGCTTTTGGCAAAATATTTTGCACCGTTGTTGTCAACGTACAACAAAGATTTTGAGGACATGTCCAAAGCACTTTTAGAAGGCATGTGGACCTTTAACCCCTTCATCCACTTTACAACTTTCATGTACTTTACGAGACGTCTATCTGGTGTACCAGAGTACAAATTTCCTTTACCAAACATCGTGGACAATAACGACAATAACAATTTGAAAGAAGACAATACTAAAATCAGCAAAAAATTGGTAAAACCATGCATTGGTATCCAAAAGCATTATTATTTTTCATGATTTACGTTTTGGAGGTCACAATGCGTTTCAGGATATTCAGGGAGTACTTTAATTCACAAATTAGACTGTCGTTGTTTTTAATCAAAAACTTTCCGTTTTTAGCTTTTTTTAAATTTAGCGCGTACCAAAAATGTTTCGTCGACATCCGGATAGATGGCGCCAGCGAAATAGCTGTCAGATGATTTTTGAGCAAAGGAAAAATAATGTTAAATTTTATTAAAAATGTGCAAAAAATTTATATAAAACTCAATCTAGTATTGATTTAGTGCACAATTACTTAAAATCTACGTTCAAAATAGACCTGAAATGATTTTTTTCTTTGTAAAAATTATTCTAAAGTATCTTTGGCTAGATTTGAGGAGACAATGCGTTTTAGGATATTCAGGAAATACTTTTTTAATTTACAAATTAGATTGTCGTTGTTTTTAATAAAAAACTTTCCATTTTTAACTTTTTTTTAAATTTAGCGCGTACCAAAAATGCTTCGTCGACATCCGAATAGATGGCGCCAGTGCACTCAGCTGTCAGATGAGTTTTAAGCAAAATGTCAGTTTGAAAAAATAATGTTAAAATTTTATTTAAAATAAGCAAAACATTTACATAAAACTCAATCTACTATTGATTTAGTGCACAATTACTTAAAACTATATTTAAACTACACCTGGAATGATTTTTTTTTGTAAAAATTATTCTAAAGTGTATTTGGTTACATTTGAGGTTATGTTTAAGAAATAGTTTTAATTTAAATTAGTTTTAATTAAAACCAGTGATAAAGGCTATAATAGACTATATATAGGTGATTTTGATGATATTAACTACAAATGTAAGTTTTATTTTATTATAATATATAGGTTGAAGATTTTATATCACTAATTGCAAACTGAAAAAATTTGCCCGAGGAAGATATGCATTTTACTAATTGAAAGGTTATAACGGCTGCCATTCAGTAATTGTTTCTGTTTAATCAGAATTACCATGTACTAGTTTTATTTATTATCATTGAATATAATTTTGCACAATTCTCTTCGTAATTAAAATAGTATGTTGTGTCGATAGTTGTATCGATAGTACCAGAATTTGTTATGCAGTTTTTTAGGTTCAAAATTTCAAGCGTTGGAATATGTTTAAAATAAAACATAAAACGTTTTAAAAATTCAAGACAACTCTGGATAAAATTCCTGAATCCGAGATAACTTCTAAAGTTATTGTTTCTGAAAGTTCATCACAGTTTGAGTTGATGTATGAAATCAAAGCTGGAGTTTTTTCCGATAAAAGCTTGAACAAAGGGCTCAGGACAATCCGGGACAAAAATTTTGAATTTGAGACAATTAATGGTTTTTGTCTAATCTGGACAAAGAATGCAAATTCAAACGGTTAAACCTTAATCTTACTTGCAAACTGGTAGCCTTGCATTTTATATAATAATAGATAAGAATTATTTCCAAAAATTACTAAAGTTTTATCTATGTGTTATGAAACCCTTTCCGAAAAAAAACGTGTCCTCGAAAATGATTCATAAATGCACAGATCAATTACTTCAAAAAGTTGGTATTAAATTATTTGAATTATATATTTAATTCAAAGCAATTTTAGACTGTCATATTATTGTATACGTTAGGATAATTTAGAGGGAAGAAACCTAAAAAATGTTTAAATCCTAAATTACTTTGATTAACAGTGCAGTATACAATATTATATCATATACGAAGGTGATATTCTTATCGTTAGTATTGTAGCTTTAGCTAAAGGTTGCTTATGTTAATATAAATTTGTGAAAATAATTTCCAACAAAATTGTTACAATAGACATAGTGTGAACAAATCTAAAAAAAGTAACTTTAATTGCATTTAATAATAATAATATACATTTGTATATTGTATAACCACTCAAAAATTTCTTATTTATTAACTTCCCGTAGGGTAAGTTATAGTAATCGTCCAAAAATCGAAATCAAAAATTTTTACATTTCTCGACGTTTTGAAGGTTTCTGAACATTTTGCATACTTCAGAAAAAGGATGTTGTGTGTGTGTGTGTGTGTGTGTGTTTTGTATGTCCGCGTTTTTTCGTCCACGTTTTCGGGCGCACAGATCGACCGATTTGAATGGTTTAAAAAACATTCGATTCCTATTGATAGGGAGATGTGGTGATTAGTTTTTTGCAAAGGCAGGTCCAGCCGTTACGGAGATATGGAGCAAAGAGTGCAAAAAATAGAAAGCGAGTTTTTTGAGAGAACGGATCAACCGATTTGAAAGGTTTAAAAAACATTCGATTCCTATTGGTAGGGAGATGTGCTGATTAGTTTTTGACAAAGGTAGGCCCAGAGGTTTCGGAGATACAGAGCTAAATTTAAAAAAATTGCTGTTTTTGAGAGAAACTAAGCGTCCGATTTAAATGATTCAAAGAACTTTCTGCTTTTTTCAACAAAATAATTGATTTTGGAAGAAAAAAAAAATTTTTTTTTTTCTAATTTTTTTTTTTCAAAAATTTTTTTTTGTAATTTTGGATTAAAAATTCAAAAATCACCCAACTAAGCACAGTCTAAGCGCCACTGCTGTGAGCAATTATTTACCCAAGTGCGTTTAGACTGTTGTGTACTGGAGCACTTTTCCAATTTTGTGAAAATTATAGAAAAATGTGAAAATGCCGCCAAGCTGAGCACCGTATAAGTGAAAATGTCGCACAGAATTATTTGCAAATGCGTTTTAGACTGTGACTATCGGGGCACTTTTTCAATTTTGTGTAAATTTGGCAACTATTTTTTTTTTTTGGAATTTGATTCGAAATGAAATGACAGATTTTAATGTTCTGGAGATGATAAATTGATTTATTTATAATTAACTTTCCATAGCGTAAGTAATCGCAAAAAAATCGAAAATGAAATTTTTATATATCTTCACGTTTTAGAGGTTTCTGAATATGTTGGCATACCTTGGAGAAAATTGATGTATGTGTGTGTTGTGTATGTGCGTGCATGTATGTGTGTTCGGATACAAATTTTCGTTGACGATTTCGGGAACACGGATGAGCAATTTGAATAATTCAAAAAACATTCGATTCGTATTGATAAGGAGACGTGCTGATTAGTTTTTTTCAAAGGCAGGTCTAGCCGTTCCGAAGATATGGGGCAAAAAGGGCCAAAAACGGTAACTCAGTTTTTAAGAGAACTGAGCGTCCGATTTGTATAGTTCAAAAAACATTTTACTTGTATAAAAGAATGAAGATTTGATCAAATTTTCATGAAGATAGTATAGGTCAGCGGTTTCAGAGATCTAGTAAAAAAAACTAAAAAAAAATAACATTTGGCGGTCCACAATAATCATTAGACATTATACATATGCATATCAAATTATCAGATATTTTATTGAGATTTTAACAATAAGTATAAGTTTTGTTTACATTCCTATGGGTTCCGTACCAATGTTTTTTCGTTAGACAGCGACGCGGCGCTTACGCGCTTTATATTTTGTCTCTATGCAGTTAAAGAAGTACGAGTGCTTTGAAAAAAAGTTCAGATCTTCCAAAATATGTCAAAATGAAGATAATATTTTTTCCAAAAAAAAATTTTTATAAAAAAAATTGTTTAAAATTTTTTTTTTTAAAAAAATTTTTTTTTCAAAAAAAAGTAATTTTTTGTCCAATTTAAAATTTCTAAAAAATCTTATTTTTTCGAAGTAAAATTTTTTGAAAAATGTTAATCGTTTTTAAAAAAATAATAATTTTTGGCACGGGAAGTTCCAGCAATTTGCCTTAAGGCACGATGCCTTAATTGCCTTAAGACAGAATTCCACTTACAGCTAGTTTTTAATTATTCCGTTCACGAGGCTTTTGTAGACCAATCTTACAATTTGTATTTTTTTTACAGTCTTTTAGGAATAACAATCAAATTTAGATCATTTTTTGGCCATTACAATATGACGTTTTTTGTTCAAGAAATTATATGCCAATATACCCCTTAAAAAATACATAACACTATTTTTACTTTTGTAGTTGCTTTATTAGTACAAAATAATTGTATAGAATATACCATTATATGGCTTATTTAAGACACTTAAATAATTCTTCCAATAACAATAAATAAATATCAATATAATTAAATAAATGATCATATAAGTTAGAAAGTTCTATCAGTTAGCAGAAAATTATTAACTATTACATTTAATAATAAGTACCTGGCATATATTAAATTGTGCCTTGAGTGAATTATACTGATATTATTATGAATAATGTAATATTTAGTACTTATGTAGTTTAAATTTATACTTAAAGCCAGCAAGTCAAAAACGTATACATAATTAGATTATTTAGTTCTAAATACTGAATGTAAATATATATTTTTGTAATAAAATCTTTATGAATAAATCTGTGCGGACATTTATTAATATACACAAATAATTTTTGTACTTTTAACTTCCCATAGGGTAAGTTATAGCAATGGGCCAAAAATCGAAAATGAGTTGCATATCTCCAAGTTTCAAAGGTTTCTGAACATTTTGGCATACCTCGGCAAAAATGTATGTGAGTGTGTGTTTTGTGTGTCCTCATTTTTTCGACACGTTTTTGGGTACACGGATCAACCGATTTGAATGGTTAAAAAACATTCGATTCCTATTGATAGGGAGATGTTCTGATTAGTATTTGTCAAAGCAGGTCCAGCCGGAACGTTACGGAGATACGGAGCAAAGAGTGCAGAAAAAAATTTGAGTTTTTGAGAGAACGGAGCATCCGGTTTGTATGATCTAAAAAACATTCAATTAGTAATAATTGGGAGAAGAGGTGATTACTTTTTGGCAAAAGCAGGCCCTGTCGTTTCGGAAATACCGAAAAAAATGTACAAAAAATGGCAGTTTTTGAGAGAAATAAGCATCCGAAAATACTGCTTGTGTGACAAAACAATTGCTTTTGGGGAAAAAAAAATCATATCATTTTTTTTTTCAAAACTCGAACATTTCGTTACGGTACGGGAAGTTCCAGCAATTTGCCTTAAGGCACGATGCCATACGCCACTTTTTACTACTTCTGAAACTTCTGCTTCAAAGTCTTCATTTCCTATTTCAGTGCTTTCAATCACGTTATTTTTTTATTTCTCGCTAAATTATTTCATAATCTACATACTATTCATTCATTCTATTCCATCAGTTCTTCTACTTTTTCGTTTGTAATATGTGCAGAAAACATTTTTTTCTATATGGGACTCAACGAAGTTTTTGAAGTAAAACTTTTTAGGCGCGACTAGGGAGTAAATCTGTGAAAATGCAATGGAAGAGCGTTAGACTCGAGTCGAGTGAAAATGATTGGTCATTCGCTCTCGATGATATCAACTTTATACGGTTGGATTGTGTTTGGTCGTCGTTATAAATAATGAAGAATGAATTGATATTCTAAACAAGAAATCGAGCACAACAATAGTTTGTGTAGCTGTGTATTATTTATATACAGATATATACTTTATAACGGACAGTTTATTTATTGATAGTGTTAACAAAATTTTTTTTTTGTTAACTTTACAATCCATGTTCCTAATCCGTAGAGAGTCATACTACACATATGGCATCTTATCAGCTTTTTCAGAGTAGTTTCCTTTTCATATATCTACTCTGAAAAGATAATAATGTGGTAGCATTCCTTATTTGCTTTCACCCAATTCACTAGAATATGATCAGGACTAAAGGTTTCTTCCAATTATTAAATAATATTGTATACTGTTTATGGACAATTGATATTTTGACACATGTGACATATTTTTATATTGAAAATATTTATATTGCAGTTTATATATTTCTTTTTTACTATTATTAAAATATACAGCGATGTGTACACCAGAAGAAGGGTAATTATAAACTAACACTGAATTGCTAAGATATAATAGAGATGTGTAAGAATTGACTTAATCAATCGAAATTGAAATTTAGATATTTAGATAAAATTTTCAACTGTTTATTTCGGAAATAAAGTTTTCGCTTTCAATAAAATCTATACATTTTGGTTTTGAAAAGAATTTTCTCAAACACATTTAAAATAACTGTAATTATATTAATTATATTGCACAGACACCACGTGCATTGATTTTCTCAAACTTTGGTGAATTTTTAACATTAAACTATTTGTCGTAGGGCCGTAACATTTTAGTATGTTTTATAAGATCATGATATTTATTTCCAGAAACGGTACATAAAAATCAGCAAGAAAAAATTTCAACAGTTAATTTCAAAGAAACGGCCCGTTGGATTTTTACCCGAAACTAATCAGTATCATTACCAACCAATATTTTTCGAACGGTTTTTGAATTTTCAAAATCGATTCAGAATTGCGGGCTAAAACGTAGACGAAAATTGTTCACTTTTCTGCGATTTATAAAAAAACTGCTTGGCCGATCGTCG